AATATATTTTGCAACAACTAGTTAACTAAAAACTTTAAATAAAAAATAGTGATTATAAAATAAATGCACATAAAATATGGGTCGGACATATTGACTGATAGACGTTGTTTTTTACCGGATAATTGTCGGACAATGTCCGCTGTCCGGCGGCTCTGATATCTTATTATACAGTTTAAATACATGTTGTTTTTTTTTATTTTTTTTTTAATGTTGATTTAGGTGCCCCAAGAAGTCCTTACGGTCTTATCACAGAGCACCGCGAAAGAGCATTTAATAGGAAGTTCACGCCTCCTTCCCAACCGATGTCGCAAACTTGTCCAGAGGTGGGGTTTGAACCACAGATCTTACGTTTCTGAAACAAGTGCGCTACCACTGCGCCACGGCTGCTCGTTGTTATTATGTTGTTATTAACATGACTATTATTCGTACTTGATGTCAGTTCTGTTACAAATAATTATACTTAATTATACTTGATTCGAACAAATTCGTGACAAATGCAAATAATAGTCGCTTTTATAAATAGATACACAAATGCTTTACGTAAAGAAGTTATAATTGTTTTTTTTAATACATTGTTATGTTAAAACACTTTAGTTCATGGCCTACTTAAATTACAATGGTAATTTAAGTAGGCCATGTTTAGTTCTGTTTTAGATAAAATAAATTATATTATTGTACTTGAAAATATATAAAATAAAGCGGAACAATATGGATTGTCAAATATACAGTGACATCTTTAGCAACAACGGCAACAAGACAACAATCAAATCATCAATGACAATGAAAAACATTTTTTTTGAAAAAACAACTTTATGTTATACCAATGATGGAGTAGATGTTGACCAACAGTTATTTCAAGTTATTGCAACTCAGGAAAAGAGTTTTCTGTTCAATGTGATTCAGATTCTGATGCTTCTGATGAAAAAAGTTTGTTATTCAGAGATTGGTTACAAATCTGGCCCAAAATATGTTTATCTGGAATAAATAAAATTTTGTTACAAATACTAGGTTGTCTTGAAGAGGACAAAACAGACATATTACTTAGAAATATTATTAAGAAAAGTTTCAATCCTCTTCCCTTTATTTTTAACACCGCTTTGAGGTAAGGGGGGTTGTGTTATTATAAAACTATATCTTTTCTACAATAGTTCATACCACATGCAATAAAATGCAATAGTTCATACCACATGCAATAAAATGCAATAGTTCATACCACATGCAATAAAAGACTAAATTGCTGTGAATATAGATGGGCTATTTATTTAGTAAAAAACGTTTCCTGCGTTTTACGAATAATACCAGATTATGTTCATTTAATGTAGTTTGTATAATTATTTGTGGTGTATATTTTAGTGGCTCGTGTATAAAGCTGTTTTATATAGAATTGAAAGTTTATAACAGCTTAAGTCCTAAATGGTATATTTAAGTCATTCATAAATAAATCTTGTTTATCAAAACCACAAAGAGCTTTTGTTTTTTTAATATAAAAATTTAAATTTTTGATAAGAATATTTTTAATTAAAAAAAAAAAAAATTATTTTTGATGAAGTAAATTGTAAATTGTGCTTTTTTAAAAAAGACATTTTTTATGTTTGGTAAAAGTTTAACTTTTTACTGACAACACATTATTATTTTTTATGTTGTTGATGTTTTTTAGTAATCCGATTTAACTTAAATTGATGTAAATTGTTGTTAGTGCCCTTTAAAGCATTAACTTGTAATAATAAATAAACTTTTTCAATGCAAGAAGTATTATTTTTATTGATTTTTATTTATTGCAATAAGCCCAGCCAACTTTGTGCTTTATGGTTAAAGTGTAATTAATAAATCAGCTTTATATGGTTTAATTTAGTTGTAAAACAACATTATTTAATAATTGTTAAATAAATAAATATAAGTTCAAAAAAGCATTACATAACACAAAAAGTAGAGAATGTAAGTTTAAACAGAAAGTCCGTCTAAATCTATACATTTCTAAGTTTAACTAAATAAAAAAGAAAAACGTTGAGTAAACTTCCGTGTTCGTTATTGCCTGTGAACGATCCAGAGCTATCAAAATAAAGTTCGCAGTGGAAGTTAAGTAAACGTTTGCTGATTAAATAATAAATATTTAAACGTTTGTATTGAACGTTCAAGAATTGCAAAACAGAATTCACATAAAATGGTTTACATAACGTTTGCAGCGAACGTTACGCAAACCTAAATGAACGTTGTGACAACGTTTCTTAAACGTTAATTGTTAGCTGGGTTGTTTATATGCTTACTAGGTTGAGTTCACAAGTTTTTTCTACAGAAACAACTAATAACTGCAACAATATGGTTAGATTTACAAAAGAACAAATTGAACTTTGTAAAAAATATCCGCTGCTCATGAATGTTATTGGAAAAGGAGCACGTAAAGCTTTAGTCGAATGTCAGGAACAATTTTCATTTCATAAATGAAACTGTTCTCACACAGACCAAAAAAAAAGAATGCTACTTGGAAAACTAACAAGTCAAGGTATAAAATAATTTTTCAAAAAGTTTATTTTTTATATAAAATATAAAATTCAACACTATATTATTACTATCCCTCCACTCAAAAATTACAAAATTCAGATTCTGAAACGAAAAATCCACTTTAGTAAAACATAACCCCTTTTTGATGCAAACAATATTGTACTAAAATATCAATATATAGCCATTTTGTTTTTTGATTTTGTCTAAAAATATACATTCATAATTTAATTTATTTTAACTGCGCTGCACAGTGCCCCACAGATACGAAAAAACGGCAAAAACCCTATTAATTTTTTATGTTGATGTGTTGATGTGATGTTTTTTAACTTTATCTTGATTGTTATAAGCATACTGAACAAGGTAAACCCATTTTTTATGATTTTGTAAATTTTTACTCTTTTTGTGAGCTTGTTATATGCAGGTTGTTTGTGGGCAAAAATTCACTAGAAATTTTAGAGTTTTCAAGTAGATCTTAAAATTGTCACAAAATGGTCATTTTTAAAAATTTTTCTTTCATTTTTTCGGTGAACATCATATATATATATTATATCATCCGGTAAGTAACTGACATTGGACTTTTATCAACACCAAAAATTAATATTCGAATTTCACAATTTGTGAAAAAATTAAAAATTTTCAGAAAATAATATTCACAATATTTACTTTTTCTAAAAATGTCCACACTTGTCCACCCTGAATTTTGATGGGGAAGTATCTTGAATATATACAGGAATGCCCGGAAAAAAAACCCGCCCCAAAGTAGCACGTTTTTGAGAAATTGAATTTTAAAGTTTTTTGCAATTAATAAAAAGTTGTTTACAAATTTAAAAAATTAGTTAGTAATATGTGCCTTTGTGGTTACATCTCAAAATGAAAATAATAGACTTGATTCCCAAAGTAAGAGAAATTTGTATAACTAACAAGGATATTGTGAGCCTCCTTTATGAGGAAATTTTGATATCAGAAGGTTTGGATGGTGAAAAAGTGCATAGTGAAAAATTAACAGAAAAAATCCGAATTTTGGTGATAAAATTGAAAGCTAAGTGGATTGCAGTAAACAAAACATATGACAGGCTGTTAATGAAAGAAAAGAAATGGTTGCAAACCGAAATTCAAATTGTTATGAAAGCTGACAATGTAAGCAGAAAAGAGTTCAGTGGAGGGTGACCAAAGAAAGATTGGAAAGATCTAGGAGAGAGAAGTAAGCGAACAAGAGTTGTTGGATTATCTGCGCATGATCCAGAGGTTTTAGCTCTGGCTGCTGTTAAAAGTGCAAAATCATCAGGTGACTTACAAGACTTTGCTTATGTGGTTAAAGAGTCTATTCAGAAAGCATCTGAAATCAGAAAAAGTATGGAAAGCAAGGAACCAATAATGATGAGTGAGAAAAAAGCACTTTCATTAAAAGTTAATTGTGATCTCAGTGATGATCAGTATCAAATGATAAGAAACTCCTCAATCAAACACAATGCCAATATTTATCCAACATTACATGCTCTATTCAAGGAAAAAAGCAATTGTTATCCAGAGGACCTTGTTGTAACTGAAACTTCTGCTGAAAATAAATTACAGTCCATGGTGAATCATACTCTTAAAAAAGTTATTGTATTAAGTAAAGACAATTTAAAAACTCTGGATCCAGATCAAAATGTGCTCAATGGTCGTTTTATTCTAAAAGCAGGGTTTGATGGTGCATCAAGCCAAAGTTTGTATAAACAAAGGTATGATAACACAGACATTGAGGAGGCTAAAAAAAATGAAGAATCCCTTTTCCAAACTGCAATTGTACCTCTTAAGTTAAGTGTAGAAAGTAAAACAATTTGGGAGAATAAGAAACCAAATAGTTCTCATTTTTGCAGACCTCTTCGTCTTCAATACAAAAAAGAAACCACAGAACTTAGCAAGTCAGAAGAAAAACACATTCGTGATCAGATGGCTGATTTGGAAGATTATGTTGAGATTATTACACTTGCGGATGGAAGAAAAGTCAGTATCAATATAAAATCTCATGTTGAACTAACCATGTTTGATGGCAAAGTGGTTAATGCTTTAACCAACACAAAATCATCTGCAAGCTGCAATATTTGTGGTGCGAAACCATCAGAAATGAACAAGCTAGATCTAGTTAAAATTAAACCTGTGAATGATGATGCTATGTCCCTTGGTTTATCATCATTGCATTGTTGGATTAAATGTTTTGAATACATACTTCATTTAGGCTACAGACTGGAGATGACTATTCCAAGGACAGATGTCAGTTTAGCCAAAGATAAGGTACTTCTTCAAGCTAGAAAAAAAACTATTCAAGATAGGTTTAGAGCAGAACTTAGTTTACTGGTAGATGTTCCAAAAACTGGATTTGGGAATACAAATGATGGTAATACTGCCCGAAGAGCATTCATGCATGGTGAGGCTTTTGCTGACATAACAGGAGTTCAGGTTGAGTTGATTCTCCGGGTGAGGACAGTTCTTCAAGCTGTTTGTTCAGGGTATGACCTAGATATTGATAGATTTAGCCAATACTGCAATGAGACTCTAGCCTTTATAGTTAATAACTATGATTGGTACAGAATGCCTCCAACTCTTTACAAACTTCTAGTTCATGGACCTGCAATTGCTGAAAATCTAGAACTACCCATTGGTTATTATTCTGAGGAGGCTCAGGAGGCCCAAAATAAAGTGATAAGACATGCTAGGTTAAACCATTCATGCAAAATTTCCAGACTAAATGTAATGAAAAATCAATTTCAATATTTGCTGATCAGAACTGATCCAGAAATTTCGTCGATCAACTTCATAAAACACAAATCTTCCAATGGAAACCCCTTGTCTGAACAAGTTATTAACTTGCTGAAACACTAAGTTTAGTTTTTTTGTTTAAATCTAAATTATATTGTTACATGTTATATATGTTATATGTTACAACATACAGAAATAGTAGATATTTGTTTCTGAATAATGTAATCTTTATTGTTTTCACTGTTTACTGACAAAATCGGCTGTTATTAAAGGATTATATGTAGAGTGTTTAAAAACATTGAAAATTTGTCACTTTTTATTTAAATAAACTATATATATATTTATGAATTTGTCTCTATAAGTACAATAAAAAACGACAGAAAAGCATGTTGAGAAAGCGGGAAAAAAATTCAGAATTTGCAAATTTGCAAAATTATTTTGAAAAAAGTGTGCAAAATTATTTTCTGACTTTCGGGTTGGGTTACTGATCAAATTTTAATATATTTAGAGCCAAAAAAGGTTGAAATCCATTCAGAAACACCGATTTGAGGGTTTTTGCCGTTTTTCCGTAGCTGTGCGCTGTGTATATATTAAAAACCGTAGGAAAACGACTGCATTGAGCCAAAACTTGATTTTATGACAAAAAAAATTTTTTTATAAAAATAGATCAAAACTAGTTTATATTTTTGTCATTCAGTAAGAAACAAGAGTTACATATTGCATTCAGTAAGAAACAAGAGTTACATATTGCATTCAGTAAGAAACAAGAGTTACATATTGCATTCAGTAAGAAACAAGAGTTACATATTGCATTCAGTAAGAAACAAGAGTTACATATTGCATTCAGTAAGAAACAAGAGTTACATATTGCATTTAGTAAGAAACAAGAGTTACATATTGCATAAACAAAATAGTAACATCACTTAAAAAACTTTAGAATTGAGTAGACTTTCTAGATTTCTAGGGTTTTTTTTCAATCACTTTTACAAAGCAACCCTTCTACATTCTATTTTGGCGTAATTCTTTATTAGAATTTAAAACAACTCTAAATACTATTCAGCCTTGTGATTACTTAACAATTGATTAGAATAACAAGAGGTTTAACAAACATGAATCTCCTTTCTCCCCTAAAATTAATGAAGGAAATTTAACGAACTCTTTATACACAGGGTATAATATTAAAATATAACTTTTTTTTATAGTACACCAATCTATATGATTAAACTACATATTGTTCAAAAGTATTTAAAAGAGTTTAAACAACAGTGGTAATTGAATCACAAGAAAAATATTTAGAAATAAGGTGAATAATTGAATAACTAAAAAGTAATAATTGAATTACAAGAAAACTTTACATTCATTGGGAAATGGTTAAATTTCTTTTAAAAAAACATAAAATATTCAAAATATTCTAACTGTTGAACTACATAAATCATTGAAATTTTAGTAAAATCTCCACGAAGCGCGAAGTAATTATTCAACTTACCTTTCAGAGTTCTCTAGCAATATTCACTTGTGAAATAAATGTACAAGGATTGTTCAGATCCTTGATAGGGATACCAAAATTCTATATTTAGTTATTTTGCATGATCAATTTCAGTCAGTTTTTGCATATAACTAATATCAAATTGTATGAGATTTCGAAAATACCAATCAAACGAGTTTTCTTCTTTAAGCTTGAAGTAGACAACTTTCAGTCATACTAAAGCTCTTGAACAAAATTCAATTTTTATCTAAAAATCTTTTGGTGTTTAGGAAAAATGACCGTGTGATAACTTTCTCAGTTTGAAGGGATTATCAATCAATCATTTTATTATCAATTTAAATAACTAAGTTATATAAATAAAAATGAAACATTTACATCAGAATGTGAAAAAGAAAAGTTTGGAAAATATAATCTTTTTTAATTAAAAATTAAGATTAATTCAAACATAAAAATTTGTATTTGAATTAATCATAAATGTTAATTAAAAATATTAAAAAAAAAATTCTTTTATCGCAAGTTTTTTACCGACAGAAAGAAGTTGAACAGATATCTGTCAATTAAATCTTAAGGTTTCAATTATTCCTGTCTCATTGAAACAAAACCCTAAAGGTTGCATGATCTGGTTAAGGCAGATCACTTTAGAGCAAAGCAAATTGCATCTGCCGCGATAAAGATTAAAATTTTTTCCACGAGAGAAAACGCTTTACGTAGTCAAGCAAAATGAGAATTAATTCCATTACCACTAAGTAAATGTATAATGGTTTAACTTAAGAGCG